CGCTTCTCGAGCTGTTGGTCGGGGTCCTCCGCGAATGCTGTTTTCAGGATCAATTGGCAGATTGACATCGATAGCCACCTGCGAGTTGGTATCGATCGGATCGGCAACTGGGACTCTGTTGGGATCAGCAGGGCGCACCTGATTGCTAGGTACCAGATTATTGTTTTGCCATGACAGCCAGACTCAATGTCAACATTCAAGTGAGCAGACTGAGAAATTTGACATTTGTAAGTTGGCCTGCAATTAAGACTTTAAAGAACAAGCGTAAAAGAGTGTGTTATGGAGATTTATATCAAACCACCACTATTATCCTTGGCCCCACGGTGGGCGCCAGACTGTTTACCCTTAAAATAGATAACAATTAAATATGCGGTTTTACGGATATGTGGATTGATTCAACACAAATAATCAAGAATATTAGATAAACAAGTTAAAGTCCACGCATGCATATTAGGCAGTTAACTTTTGCAACTTGTTAGTTACAGTAAAACGAACCAAATATGCTATGAAATTAAATGACTCTACGATTGATGACCACTAACAGTAGATTAACTCTATTAAACGTCATAACTTTAATTCGTAGTTTGATAATGTGGACATACATTTATATTGCATCATGTTAAGATTTTCAAGCCGAATTCAGTACCTATGAAATGCTTGGGAATATTGAAACCCATTAACCCACATTATAGTTTCAGCATCTCAAGGTTGTTTCTCTCTCATTTAATTTGTACTGTAGTATTACAAGTACAAATCTAATAGTAGTAGTTACATTACTATCCAGTTAAACTTGCCAATACGGCGAAGATTTGAATTTCCCTCCTCCTTTTCTTTTCTATTTTGTTTTTACAATTTGCTCTTGGCCAAAACATTGACTTCACTCTAAATTAGGCACTATTTCCATTTAAACACTTCCAAATCAATCTATTGAGCATCTTACCTAGCCGAAAATGTGACCATTAATCACAATCAGTTGAAAAACCAAAATGTTATTATAAATAGAATTTTATTTATGGTGAATGTTTATATTTAGAGAGATTCTAGGGATTATTACTTGGTGGCTTAGTCACTTTTTCCCTATAAATAGAGGGGTTCTATTCCATTGTAAATCATCTCAAATCAATAAGAATTCTCTCACCCTACTTTTCTCTGCAATATTCTTCTTCTTCTTTTATTGTTCATAACACGTTATCAGCACGAGACTCTAACCAATTGAGTAGAAGCTTTGGGGTTGAGCATAGTGATTGTCAATTGTTCCATGAACTTCCTTCATGATTAAATTCTTGATATTCTATAATTTGATTTTAAATACAAGCAAAGACGATAAATTTTGATTGTAACTCTAATGGAGTTTGAAAGAAATTATAATCACCCAAAGTGGTAAAATATTTATGCCTTGTCATGATCAAATTCATGTATGATTATGGGCAAAGTGAGATTTTATACAGCACATATAGATGATTATGGTCCATTCATGATGTGAATGTGACAACATGCGACTTATGAATACATATTCATTTTTGGAAGAATATGAGTGTGCTAGTGGTATATACCACACTCACCTCTAGAAGGAGGTTTGAGAGGAAATAAGAAAATAATGTCATTATTATGGCATAAATGGTCATTGGTCACATACTTATTGTACACCAAAATATTTTGGCATTGTGATTATTAAAAGACAATGGTAATGCAAGAAACAGATCTTGCATATAGTTTTGACCATAACCATAATGGTATAAATTTCTCTTTAAAAGGCATATTCACCATATGGATGTTGATGAATATGTGGTACTAGAAAATTAGTTGAGAACTTTGCAAGAGCCAATTATACTATTTTGGAGAAACGCAATTGATTACCAATAAGGTATTGTGTTATAGTAAGTCTCAAAGAAACTTAATCAGTTTCCAAAGTATACGCGAAAGCGGTTGATTATATTGAGACTATAAATAAAGGAAAGATTTAATATCTTCTATTACTACTACTTATAGCGGGATAATATGTATGTGAAAAGCTACCCGCTTTATTCTCCAGTTTGTACTACAAAAATAAAAGAATACCACACTAAAGTGGATATTTATTGATATAAAAATCCATATCATAATAAACTTGGAGTTTATTGATAATTGCACACGTCATGGTGTAAATCTGAAGTTTATCAATATTGATAATTTATTCAGTTGGCATAATTGGTTTAGCCATATCAATTTAAGTATGATGTGCAAAAATAATAGAGAATTCACATGGGTAAATATTAAAGAACTAGAAAGTTCTTTACGAATTCTCTTATATTGCTTGTTCTCATTAAATAATTGACCAACTAAAATTGGGATTGAATCCCATGAATGTTGGAAATATCAAAGGTGAATATGGGCCCATTCACCTGCCATGTATACCACATAAGATGCATCTATGAGATGGTTACATGTGCGATTATTATTAACCCGCAACATGGTGTTTGCGAGGTAACTTGCTCAGTAATTTGATTTAGAGCATAATTTCCAGATTTTTTATTCAAGATAGTTCATCTTGATAAGTTGGTTTACATCACAGTTGGTTTAGCAAAATAATTTATTGAGTGCCTCCACTTAATAGTTAAACTGTTTCTTATAATAATAAAGTTATATATATCAGTTTGATAGACGTTATATACGAAAGTATATTATTTTCTCACCTCACAAGTGGTTCAGGGTCAATAACCAAATAATTCCATCTTATTATTATTGATACGCGGTGTATATTTTGATTAACACCATAACGCACAACGATGAATTCCCAAAGTTGAGGAAGCAAGTTGGTTTTTCTAACATGAGGGGGAGAGATGATAAACATTTGAGAAAAAGTTACGCGGAATGAATTATTATGTGTACTTCTAGATCCTCGAATAAGATAATATGAACTTGAAGTTCATAAAAGGATAATTCATTTGCAATATATTGCAAAGCATGCCAGACTCATTTGTTGGCCCAAAGAAAATAACTATATTCTCATTGCAAATGCTCCTATAAGTCCTAGAAGGACAAAGTCTATGGTACGCTTAAAGAGTATAGACAAATCGGTTTCAAATAAAATTCTTGATAAAGAAGATGAGCAAATGATCTAAATGATCATAATAAAGGAGGCAAGTGATCTAGAAGGTCACATGACATAACTTCATAAAATCTCAGTAGAGATTCAGGTACCTGAAAATATAAATGAAGAGATCTCTATGTCATGTCTTTATGAAAAATGTTGGAACCGATATATAATGTTCGTCGACGACATCCATGATAGTGCTAAGTATAGTTGAGGATCTTAAGTTTGTCGAATAAAGACACAAAAAAATTGGCCAAATAGAAGAGACACAAATCAAATAGAATTGGTTGCATATGAAAGACATATAGTTTTGGACATGTAGTTCAAACACTTGAAAGTATAAAGTCAATGATATGCACAATCAATTTTCGATATCTTATTTGTCTAGCATGACATGAAAACTTGATATGCATCTAATTAAAGTCTATTATATGACTTATATGACAATCCTTGAAGGATTTAAATTGCTTGAAGCATATACAATTCTTGGTCCTGAAGTACCATATCCTAAGAGTTATTTGCGCACATGTGTATCTTGTTATAACTATAAGAATGATAATGTGATAGCGAGGATTTTCGAGGTGCAACATATTCATTGGAGTTAATATGGCTATTTTATTCATCAAGTTTCTGCCGACGTCAACCTTCAAGAAGCTAGTGCACAAGATTGAAATGCGAAGGCTCAAGGATGTGAATTGATGCTCTCATCAGGGGGAGTTAATACACGTTGTACTCTTTTTCCCTTATAAGGTTTTGTCCCACTGGGCTTTCCTTGCAAGGTTTTTAATGAGGCAACCAAAAGGCATATTTCTAAACATGTATACTCTTTTTCCTTCTCTAGAATTTTTTTTCCACTGGGTTTTATTTTAGTTAAGGTTTTAACGAGACACATTATCTAGTAGATAGACATTCAAGGTGGAGTGTTATAAATAGAATTTTATTTATGGTGAATGTCTATATTTAGAGAGATTCTAGGGATTATTACTTGGTTGCTAAATCACTTTTACCCTATAAATAGAGGGGTTCTATTCCATTGTAAATCATCTCAAATCAATAAGAATTCTATATCCCTGCTTTTCTCTACAATATCTTCTTCTTCTTTTATTGTTCATAACAAATGCAATTTACCTAGCAATGAAACAAATGAAACTCGCTTTCCACCGCGTCCACCCGAATATAAAACGAATGTCGGATTCTTATTAAGCTATTATAAATGTATAGTTGTCTTTCTAGGCTCTTGCCATAGTTTCATGATGTCATACACCAACAATACAAAAAATAAATTTGCAATATTATAAAGAAAAAGTAAGATACGAGTTAAAACTATTATATAAAAAGGTAGGATAAAGGATAAGATAAAATTATTTAACAATAAGGGCAAGATGAGAGAAAAAAATAAGATAACGACGCGACCACATCCAATCGGTTATTCCATAAAGTGGCACTTTTCGTCGTTACGTAACGACGGAGTTAACAATACAATAAAATATAATTTAAGTAACAATCAAAACAAGCATTGTATTTTATGTAACAATAACAATACAATAACAATAGAACACAAGGGGTAACAACCATCAAAAAAAAACAATTAATGAATGAATAGTATGTGAAGAAAAGCCAAAATTTGCCCCTTTGGGAAAATATTTTACGTTGAAGCAGGAGAAAAATATATGAAGTTAAATATGAAATAAAACATCCCCTTTTTTCTAGGAGTTGGGGCTGGTGACGAATTCTCAATCAGTTTATGGCTAGTTGCATCATTGAAACAGTTCGTCACAAAGTTTTGACAAAAATAGAAATTGATCCATATGGAAATTTTTTTTTTTTTGGAATTTGTCCGTCATATTATAGTGATCAGAAATAATGAACCGGGAAGGATACACTTCCAGAATTGCAAGGAAAATAAACATAGGATGCTCGCGGTGGGCGTGTATGAACTACTTTGTAGTGTATTCCAACTTCCAAGAATGACTACATGCAAGTTTTTGGTACTCCAAAATAACTCGAGTAATTTATATACTTTACTAGCTGCAAATGAGTATCAGCAACATAAAGTAACTAGAGAAAATGACCACAAAGTAAAAGACCACCTGAACTAATTCTATTTCGTTCTCTGTACCTTTCAAACAATAGCTCTTCACTTCGTTGAAGTCTGTTATATTCAGCCATATCAAATCCTGAACTTTGGCAACTTTCAAGTTCTCCGGATACGTCTCCACCATCTTCAACTGTATAGATTGTTCTATTCTTCGGTTGACTATGCACAATTGCTGGGCTCCAACTCCCATGGCTGCTGACGGAATAACTACTATCATTCTGAGGGGAGGTGACGTCCTACAAGAAGGTAATTTGGAGCCAAGTTACAATAGATGTCATAAGGGAAGAAAATGGCATTTACTACTTCTATATATGTATAAACTATATGGCTACCATGCTACTAAAGTGAATGCGTAAACTTAAATGGCACGGCAGCAAAAGTAACTTCAAGCAATTTGTGTTAAACAAAGGAATTTGTTTAATGTCTAGCATTTTTGGATGGAAAGGCTTCCAGGTCTTCTCTATGAAGAAGTATTAGCAAGATAAATCTCCAAATAGGCAAAATGATGGTACTTCCTCACCGGACCATAGTGAGTCAACATCCTCCTAGTTTGACCACTTAAAGCCAACCAAAGAAACTAATTCCAAAAACATATCCAATCATCTGGCAAATATAGCTAAAGGCAGCACCTAATTTCTTGCTAGTACGTCATACCAAAGGAAGCACCTTTTTTTCTTCTTTTTGATGAAGTAAGACAATTGCATTAAAGGCATCAAGAAGATGCAAGGAGTACAAAAGAGAGAGAAACATAAAGGCATAGTCAGCTCTACAGCCAAAAACTAGGCTAAAGCTAAGGAGCTGACGAAGTCCAATAAATTAATAGGGCAATTAACAGGAGCTAAGTTCTGCCAACTATATTACTATAAAAGACACCTATCCTTACGTGCGTATGTAAGAGTTGATATCCCATCACAACACAAGCATACCAGATCAAAACAAAGTATCAGTTTACCTGTCTTGCATCACATATTGACGTTTTCCTACTAACAGGAGTTTGCTCTTCATTCTTGGGAGTGAAAGAACTATCATTGCTTGTCTCCCACTGCAACCAAGGCAAGATCACCCCATCAGTTCCAACAGGATGACAAGTAGCTCCTGCAGGACTTTGGTTAACTGCTTCCCCATAAGTAAAACTGTCCTTTGGCTTAGCTACTCCTCCTAATGTTGAACTTGCATCACTTCTTTCTCCATCAAAAGAAGAAAAATCTGTATCTTCTATATTTGCAATGAAATCCTCAAAAAACTTCTCTGCCTCCTCATTCAATTGTTTTGATGTCCTGTTTCTGTCATTGCTTCTCTGGAAAATTGTAAAAAGCTTGTAATAAAGGATCTACTATAGAGGTGACTAACAGCTAATCAAGAAAGTTGGAAATTGCCGTTCAACTACAAAAAAGGAGAGACCTTCCTACGTGGTTGTTTCTGCCCAACAGCAGAATTTTTTGTATCAGGAAGTTCTTTGACAATCTGCTGATCCCTACCTCTGTGGTCTTCCTGCAGAATTTCATCGAGCAGATCTTGATTACACTTCTACGACTTTAATATTAAAGAAAGTTGAGGCATTAAATTTCCATGGATTAAATCGCATAACATAGTGAGTGCCAAAGAAGAATCAGAAACAGTGTGCAAAAGGAGGCAGAATATTAAACTAGAAGAAAGACCTCATAACGTAGTGACCCGTGTGCGACGGGAAAATGTAAGCATGGAGAAAACTTACTTGCTCCAATTTTGTTACATGATTCTTTCTGGCCACATGACCTGACTTGGCGCTACTAGTTTTCTTCCCCATGGTCTGCATGAGTAAACATCAAATAGTTAGCAAGCTCATTAACTATGCGGAAGTAATTTTTCTTATTTCATGGAACAATTAAATCACACACCTGTTCAAGTTCAGTTTTGATTTCTTCAACGGCATGCCTGAGTTTTTTTCTCATTGCTTCGTACAGTTCACCATTCACAACATCCCCATTTGGATGCTCACCCTGAAAAACAATAACATTTTTTTTAAAACAACCGATAAGGCACAAAAAAAAGTCATTGTGTGCTACTTCGACAGATAAACAAAATAAACCTTTTTCTGTGCATAAACTGCTTGAATCGTTTTCTCGATGCCATTTTTACAGGTAAGAGCATCCTTTGTGTCATCGTCAGTCAAGGCAGAAGAGTGACTCTAATATGAATGAAGAAGTACATAATTAGTAACATTGCCAAAAGTCATGTCGTGACACACAAAAATCAAAACATTATTGGAGCAAAGGGCAACAGCAACTGAGAAATGATACATTAAGCTAATAAGTTCCCTACTATTCAAAGATAATCAAATATAAATTGTTGCGGCTTACAGAGTAGCCATCATGCAATTGTCACATGTCTTTTTGGCTAAAAGACCTCCTTAATTGTGTATTATTTACAGCTGTTGGTTTCAGTAATGAAGGGAAGTCATTGAGCCTGATGCTCTGATTCTTCTTGATGTCAATTTGGCTGCTGGAATTTCGAAAATGATCTGCATCACTCTGTCATACAACAAAGAAAATTGTTGATCAAAAAGTGTCTCCACTGCAAATTTTATTTGCTGATACCTTTAGTTTTCTCTTATTTCTTCTTTTTAAACAGTGATCTTAAGAACTCATAGATAATACTTAAACAACCCAAAGCTTTCTGGACATACACCAATAGAAAATGTAGATGTGCCAGAAGTTGCATGCTGCACTAGTCAGTTTTCAATCAGAATTAAAATTACCATAACCTATTGTGGTAGGTCCAACCACTGTTTGGAGATAAAGACCTTTTTTTTCTTTTTTTTTTTGATGACCGAGAAATCCGTCTGGGGCCGATCCTTTGGACCAACCGCAGCCTTCGAAACTCGGTAGATAATGGGCTCGCCCCTCTACCCTTCTCCACTTAAATACCAGGTTTAGCTTTGCATGGCATGGGTGCTTGAACCTGTGACCTAAGACACAAATCCACCACCCTTTGCCACTTGAGCTAGGCCCTGGGGGCAGATAAAGACCTTCTTTAATAAAGAAAGAACTTGGACATTTAAGCTTGAGGTGAGCTTTGTCACAGAATTAATTGTGTCACAGTCAGCTTGTCCTCAAAATTAAGCAAAGCTTGCATTGTAAGAACTGAAACTATTAAAGATGGAGGACATCATCAAATAGTACAAAACTTGAAGCCTAAGAGAATTTGTTACAAGTCCGCAGTATAAGACGAAAAACTGGGAAATGTTACACACCACATATAGTCCCCTTTATTCTCTTGCAATCCAGTGCAAGAATAATACCACTCTCAGCAATCATGTATATAATAGCAATCCAATTTCAACACTTAAAACCACTGAAAATCCCCCTTATTCTTTTGGATAATAAAACTGATCCTAACACTAAGTCACTGATAATTCACCGAACAGCACTTACATCAGAAGAAACAGCACTATAATAGAGTAAGTAGGGAAAACATTTTTTTATGACGGTGATAGCCAGGCCAGCTTGCGCACATGTCTGACTAATCCGCCGGCTACCTCCCACCGGCACTTGTACGGGGTAACGCAGTCCATCAAGACGTAACAGATTAAAAGTAATCTCTTAAATTTTTTGTCTCTATTGGAAACCAAGTTAACAGGAAAAACACTTTTAGTACAGAATGTAACAGAATACCATTCGATAGATGCACCACAAAGGTAATGTGTAGCTAGAAACAAACATTTATTATTTTGTTTTCAGCTATTTCTACCTTCTAAAGCACTTGGGATTCAAACTTCTTAACTGATGTTATCACAAGTTTAAAGTATCCAGAAGAAAACATTACCCTTACAAATTATCAGACATCCTAAGTTACATACACATGCTGAGATTTAGGTAACACTAATAAAGAAGTTAAAGGGGGTAACCGTACCTTTGGAGAAATCTCTGCATAAAATAGGCTACAGCATAGAAAAATAGACATAGTAAATGAAGGCACGCCTCCTCAATTAATTTTTCTTTATTTTTTACGCGCACTAAAAACATTCATTTGATAGTTTCTTGTTATAGGATTTCATGCACGGTTTCTCTTTGATGATACAGGGAAGTTATACATTTAAGGAATTCATATTTTGGGAAGTTAAATTGTCAACTCAAAAGACTTAAAAACACAATATAAGTAATGGAGCAGTAAACCTGGAGCATAGCAGACTCTCTTTCAAGTCCAACCTCACACTTACCTGTTTTTGTACTTACTAGTTATAGTAGTTATTCTTTTCTGATTCTCGTAATGAGACTAATTAGAACATGTGTGGAAGAAGAACCAAACTCAAATCTTGGTTAGAGACTCGTGCTGATAACGTGTTACGAAACTTAGCTCAAAGTAACAATATAGAACAATAAAATAGACAACAATGTAGAGAGCAAGAGAGGAGAGAATCTTATTTCTTCTATGTATTTAAGTGTATACAATGTGATGCCAAAACTCTCTATTTATAGGATTACATAGAGGCATACATTTGAGATCATGGAGGAAGATCATGGGGAGGTTATGGAGGTGTGGGAGTTACAATTATAATGGTGAGAAGTAGTGGGAGTTATCTACATAATGGAGAAGAGTAGTGGGAGTAACTTCTTTAGGAGTTATAGACATCCACAACAAAATAATATTTCATAACACTCCCCCTTGGATGTCTATAGATAATGTGCCTCGTTATAACCTTACTAAGAAAAAATCCTGTGGGAAAAAATCTTAGTGAAGGAAAAAAGAGTACACATATCTTGCAATATGCATTATTTGCTGCCTTATTAAAAACCTTGCCAGAAAAACCCAGTGGGATAAAATCTTAGCTAAGGGAAAAAGAGTACAGTGCGTATTTGCCTCCCTCTGATGAAAACATCACTTTATTCTTCAGAGACGACGAATTCTAAGCTTGTATAACAACTTCTCTAATATTGAGATCCACAATGTCTTGTGAAGAAGTTTGTCAAATTATCACTTGAACAAATTTGTTGAAGAACTTTGGTGAATGTGCTTTATTTTGTCTCCTTCGATAGTCCTTCTTTCAATTGATATAAGCAAACAACATTATCTTCAGTATTATTGGAATCTTCTCTTCAAAGTCAAGTCACACGCCTGTTGTGTGTTGAGCCCCTTGCTTTATCAGTTGCTTATCTTGGCATGACTTGAATAAGTATCAACAATTAACTGCCTTATAATATGATAATATGACAGTACTCTCACATGCAAATAGAATGTTTGAAGAACGAACTTCAGAAAATGCCTGCATTTGCATAACCAACAAAATCTTGGCGATATTTGTTAGAATAAACAAATCTAAATCAAGTATTCCTTTTGAAATATAATACTAATTGTATTCCAATATCTCCACATTGCAATAAAACTATATCTTGCTAGCATGTTGTTATACTCATGGTTCTAGCCAGATATATTAGTGCACCAATTGCACTAGACACAAAAATAAATCATGTACGCCATGATCGCTCTAATCTACATAAGGATATGCAGAAGATTTATTTAATAAATTTCTTGGGAACCTTAATATGCTTCAGAACAATTTAAATCATTCAAGGATTTTCATTATATGCATATCAAATGTATTGTCAGACCCCCCACAGGAGAAACATGTCTTCTAATATCAGGATATTTACGAAAATTTTGTGCCACAAGTCGTCTTTATGTCTATCAACTTGATTTTTCATTTCACTTTCAGGTGTGGGGACTATCCGTCCAACTTCACATTTTTCAGGTGAAGTCAATTTTATTGCATATTTTTCATTTGGCCAATCATTTATCTGTCCNGCTAGGGTTTGAACTTGAGGATTGAGGTGTAAGAGGATTTTCTGAGAATGGACTTAAATGGAGTTTTGATGAAACAGCTAAGAGAGAGAGAATATGATTGAGAAGAATGAAGAAGAAGATTTGGCGGAGGTATCGAAATTGGAGAAAATTTGAAATGATACAGTTGAATGACTTATTAGCCCACAGTCCACACTAAAATATTCAATCAAATGTCATAATTAATTTATTAATTCACAATAATGCGACCAATAATTAACAATAACTAATAGACGGAAAACACGAAAATGAGAAATATATGAGAATCTCGCAATTAATCGAATTGCAATAATAAAATATTATCCCAAGCTTTTACACCTTCAATTGTAATCTCAGATATTAATGTGACATTTGACCAACTAACGTAGAGCTATGACCAAGAAATATTCCTTGATTATATAGTTAACACACATTAGTCTTCTGGTATTAAACAAATGCTACTTTAAACCAGATTTTGGGGGTGAGGGAAGGAGAGGGAAATCTCAAACCAACCGTAAAGAACAGTTCTGGTCCAGCAGAGGAATATCATTATTCTCCATTTTCAAATTTGAAATTGAAATGAAGCATTCAATTTATTTATTTTTTCAATTGTTCTTGTCCAATAGAAGTATCGTACTCTCCATTTTGAAATTGGCGGAATACATACAGACAGAGACACCTAAAGCTGGCACTATTTTTCACTTAGATACTTAAACTAGGCCTCTTTCCATCTGAACTCATTTCTTAGGCATATAATATACCAATTAAACACGTTTTGTGAGGTAGCATATAGCGTGACTTACAACCTATTTAAGCGCGTGAAGGTGGCACAGAAGGGATTTTTCCTTTCCTAATTATACACATAACGGTAACATTGTGAACTAAATATATCTCTATTTAAACCCTAATCCCTTTCCCAATTGTTAGAAATCCAATTTTGCTGCTCCAGCACTTCTCCTCTCTACTTGTCAATTATTTTCTTCTCTTCTCTTCTTTCTATCGTTTATGTTCTCTGCTTGGTATCAATTATTTTCTTCTCTTCTCTTCTTTCTTTCGTTTTTGTTGTTGCCGAGTTTACTTTTCTTCTCTTCTTTCTCTCGTTTCTGTTGTTGCCGGGTTTATTAAGGTCGAAACTTAGTTATCCATTAATGTCGAACTTATCGGAATCGACGAACTTGTTAATGTCACCTTGCACTGCCGCTCGAATTTGTAAGTGTGGTGTTTCTCCAAAGTTGAATGCTTCTTGAACCCAACTAAACCCAGGTCGTAGGTTTTTTGCTTGCAAAATTGGAAAGGTAAATTTTTTGTTCTTAACTGTATTCTGTTTTATGAGTTATTTTCTTTGATAAAAATTGATCAAATGTGTTTGTGGTTTTTGTAGAAAAGGGGTGGTTGTAATTATTTTTGTTGGTATGATGATGAGATGCCTACTCAAGCAAGGAAAATAATTTGGGGTTTACTAAAGAGAGTCAAAGCTTTGAAGAGGAGAAAGTTCGAGCAAAAAGAAGACAGATCCTTTTGACGATTGTTATTGTATTGTTGCTCGTTTTATGGAAACTAACTGTAGGGCTGATGTCGTTCTTGTGTTTTGATGTGGTTTGCAGATTAGTTTGGTTGTTTTAGGTGTTGTTGCTGCTGCACTTTTGTAATCTTAGCAGTGCTATGTAATGCTTTTGCTTCTGTTTTGAAAGCACTGCTATGTAATCTTAGCATTGTTATGTAATTTCAGCTGTTG